CGTGTTTAGTTTTAAAAATTCTTAAGTTAACCAGTACTTACACACCCATCCTGACTAATACAAAGACTTTAGAAGATGTAAATTTCCACCAGCCTTTGGCATTTTATAAGATAAGCTCTAGGGATATCTACAATTCTAATTTTCTGAAAAGTGAGACTTCTGAAGTTCAAAATGTTGTGAATCAAGAAATTAAATTTGCTCATAATGCCAAAAAATATTGCTTAAAGAAATAACTTTGGAAATAGAATTTTAACTGTTTTTAATAATTATTTTCCCATGAACTTTTTTTTTCCTTCCAGGTCATATCTTTTATTAAAGTAATTCAGATAATTCTGAGTTCAAAGATTAAACAGTATAATATTTTAATTTTGTATTGGCTCTTGCTGAGGTTGCATAATGATATTGATCAGAGCACGTAATTAGCAACCACCCACATGTCTGGAACCAAATGTGACCATCTGAAACAAAGTAAAAACACAGAAGTCATAAAATAGGTCCCTGAGCAATGGCAACAAGAAAGCAAAACCAAACCACACAAATGTAACGAAAAATCACTGCTATTACAAAAAAATAGAACCTTCAAGTTGCCTCTGCCTAGGGGCTTTATTACCTCATAATCTCTGTTAAAAGCCACCCTCAAATAAATATTTTACTCTAAGGGAGAACATTGTGCTTTTCATACAGAGAACTTCAAGACCTTTCCTATCTACTTTTAAATATATATATATTTTTTTTAAGATTTTATTTATTTGTCAGAGAGAGAGGGAGAGAGAGCGAGCACAGGCAGACAGAATGGCAGGCAGAGGCAGAGGGAGAAGCAGGCTCCCTGCCGAGCAAGGAGCCCGATGTGGGACTCGATCCCAGGACGCTGGGATCATGACCTGAGCCGAAGGCAGCTGCTTAACCAACTGAGCCACCCAGGCGTCCCTCCTATCTACTTTTAATCCCTGTCTTCCATGACTTAGAAAGGCCAAGGCCGCAGTAACATTGACACCTTATTAGGCATAAGAGAATTTATAAAAGAATTTACAAAATAGGTGTGTAATAACTCCTCTGTGAAGGTAATTTACAATTTTTATCAGTGGGAGGAGACAGATAATGTTCAGGCATAGTGGCCTTAGACGACTTACTTCATATAACAAAAGGTTGACTTATACATCTCAGTAACCTGAAAGAATTTCCCAGAATGACCATCTGGTAAAGTAAGCAGTTGAAACCAAATCCCCAATTAAATCACCTGAAAAAAGAACAACTAATGTATGCTTAAGAAACAGACTCAGTGAGGTACCTGGGTGGCTAGGTTGGGTATCTGCCTTCCACTCTGCTTCTGATTCTTGGACTCTGGGATTGAGTTCCACATTGGGCTCCTTGCTGAGTGGTGAGCCTGTTTCTCCCTCTGCCTGCCACCACTCCTGCTTGTGTGTGCACGCTCTCGCTCTCTCTCTCTGGCAAATAAATAAAATCTTTAAAAAAAAAAAAAAAGAGGAAACAGACTCAATATAGTATATTTAAAAATTTTAATCAAAAATGCTTTCTTGGGGTGGCTATGTGGCTCAGTGGGTTAAAGCCTCTGCCTTCGCCTCAGGTCATGGTCCCAAGGTCCTGGGATCAAGCCCCACATCGGGCTCTCTTCTCAGCAGGGAACTTGTTTCCTCCTCTCTCGCTCTTCCTGCCTCTCCACCTACTTGTGATCTCTGTCTGTCAAATTAATAAAACCTAAAAAAAAATTATCAAAAATGCTTTCTTGAAGTGAGAGAGTTATTATTCACTTAATGGGCATTTTTCATTGGGGCTCAATAGAGGAAAGTTTAACTTGGGTATCCATCTAATTTTTAGTAACAACAGGTTTTGTACTCTTCAACATTTTATTTTTCTGAGAACACAACAGAGAAATATATACTTTTATACTTAGAACTATGAAAAATAACCATGGAAAAAATTACTCTCATTAAAATTGTTAGTAGAAATAAAAGCTTTAGTGAAACACTTCAGTCCATTCCAGCTATAACAGGAAAATACTACTTCAGTTTTCAGCATCAAGCAGGAAACTTTTTATTGCTGAGGAGTAATACCCATCTGAAATAAAAGTGGCTTACCATTTTGTGATACTTTGATGTCAAATATGCAGCATAATAATATGTGTCTTGCTGGATAGTCAAGATTCCCCCATACATTAAAAGCCATACTTCATTTGTAAAAGTGTATAATGTAGTTAAGTCTTTTGAAAGTGAAAGAACTTTTCTCTATTCTTTAGTCCTTTTTTAAGTAGAGGTTCAAAAATATTTGACCTATGTCTGCTCTTGGGTCTAAGTCTCGACTGTTTATTTTTAAAAACATTTACTATTTTTCTTAATTAAAGTTTTAATACGGGTGGTATGTAGAAAGTTTGGAAGCCTCATAAAAGTACAGAAGAAAAATAACCTGAAATCATTCATTTCCTTCATTATCTCTTGGCTCCAACACTAAATAATTTCAGAGTATTGTCATTTGGTAATTGTTTTGTCTTGTCTCTATTTTCTTATATTTTTCACTCGTCGTTCCTCGGTTTTTCTGTGTTATGATTGCTTATAATATGCATTCAACGTGTCTTCCACAACTCAAATTAAACATCACATTCTTAAATGAAAGTTGCCTCAACCTCTGTATCAGATTTTTCTTTACATTTTTTCATGGCACTCTGCATTTATCTTATATAGCACTCATTATATTTATAATTGCATTACACTTAGAAATACTTAGTATCTGTATCCTAGCTAGGTAATAAACATAAAAAAGGCTCAACATAATAATCAGAATGTACTCCTGGGGACAACATTTGTTATACAGTAGTTAGGATTTGGCTGGAACCTAGAAAAGGAATAGAAGACATAATGTTGAGAATGCAGGTACCCTCAGGTCAGAGAGCCCAAATGCCAGGCTGGGGAAGTTCTTTAAACCTTCGTTTCAGAGAATTTTGTGACAACTTCTTGCTTACAGAGGGCTTTTGGAAGAGAATTCTTGCAGGAAGGAATACGATGGATTGTCTTAGAAATACAGTGATCAATCAACGGACTTTGGCATTAGGTTAGATGAGGGTTAAAGAGATTACAGTAGGAAGAGACAGAAAGGATGGAGATTACATTCAGGTATATATTTACCCATGCATTTTAGATCATATGCAGCAAAGCCCCTTTTCCCCCACAGAAAATTCCGCAAGTCAAATTATAAATTTGCATTCCCTCTGAGTATCAACTCCATGAAAGAAGGGACTATGTCAACCTTACTATTTATTGTATCCTCAGGGCATTGAAGATGGAGACACTCAAGAAAACAAGAGAGTTAGACTCCTGTCAAAATATTAAACCTATTTTAACTAGAACTAGATCCTGACCAACCCATCCTTATCAAAGCCAGTGCTCAAAGCCTGAGCATGTGACAAATGCCTTCCAATTGATTGATGGTTCAGTTAGAGCAAAACAGCAGTAACAACATATACATATATGTTAACTATAACTTATTTTAAAATTAATTTTAAATACTTACTATTTTTTTGAAAACTGAGTGTTTTGGCCTATGGTCTATAACTATATATTTATAATCATAAGTTGCACATTTATATGCAGCATTAACTCATATACAGAGGAAGTTGTAATGACATAAAATGATATAGTATGCATTGAATACAGTTGTGTTGCATGTAGTTTTGTTAGCATTCTAAGTGGGTAATTTATACACCTAGGATGTAACAAGCCTTGCATTATATAGAAATACAAGTATCACATATAATGGCACATGTTGGGTACTAGCAGTTGGGTTAGGTTAGTAACAGGAAGGATAAGGCAAATCCTCACTAAGGAGAAGTGATGTGTGTCAAGTCTTGAAAGAGTAAATGCTATCCAGGTAGATCAAAGCAGAAAGTCCTGTAAAATTTTAAAATTAGAAGATATTACTCTTATACTTAAAAAAACCTTTATTAATCTTTTGGAATATCAGTTTCTTTATCTGTGGCATGTGGTAATCATCTTTTGGATCAACGTTCAGCTATTTTCAATGTTCAGAATATGGAAAAGGAAAGAAGCGTAAAAAGCAGCATGAAAGTTATGAATTCCATGATTTTGAAGAAGAGGGAAGATATTCTCTATGTAATATTGATAGGTAAATTAGCTGCCTGTCCGTGTTTTAGAGATTGTCTTTGTTCGAGATGGAGGAATAGACTAAGTGAATCTTCAGGAACTTCCAAACTCTGGCTCTTTGATTTCGTGACTTAATTGCCTTTTTTTTTTTTTAGAGACAGAGAAGCAACCTCAGTGCATCTTCCAGGAACTTCCAAACCCTGGCTTTTGGATTTGATAACTTAAGCATGAAGAATGTTAACATTGTTAAATCACCGAGATTATATATTTAATGCTCTTGAAAGAAACTAAACATTTTTATAGTATTGAGATTACATATGTATTTATATATATAATATATATTTTATAGTATTGAGATTATACCATAATATGAAAATTAAAAGTTATTAAAACATAGCCATTTAATTGGTAATTTTTAGGCTCCCTTAAATTTTATTAGCAATATTAGTGAGTAAATTCAAGGTAGAATTTTCGGTATTGAGCCTTATTGGCAATTTGAAAGCAGCTAAATTGTTTTCCTACTTTGTGTTGCAAAAATTCTAGAGCTATATTCAAAATGTTGCTATCAAGATAGGAAATGAATCTAAGTTAATGTTCCTCTTGAGGTTAAAGGTCTGTTTCTTTCAATCACTTCAAACTGACAGGCCTCCTGCCATCACCTCCTCCTCAGCCAGTCAGACAGCCCTGGCAGTCAGTGTGAAAACATCTGTTGAATGGATTTATTAACTAGATCTTGTTTTTTCTCTCTCTCTATTTTTTTTCTTTTTCCTTCACACCGTTTATTATGTCTCTGACCTGATGAACTTAATTTGTTTACACGTCATTCTCAGTGTCTCCCTCAATGCTTGTCTCATGTTTCTCTCTACTGTGCTCTTTTCTTGGCAACAGCCCTTCCAGGAGCCCCAGCACACACGTGCGCTCTCAGTGCACCAAGCTCAGCTGGCTGTGGTTGGCATGGATGGATTAGAGAAACATCGTCTTTTCTCCAGGACACATTCCTCCCCTGCTGCCTCCATTTTACCTCATCCAGCAATGGACGGCCCCCTCCAGCCTGGCTCTGCAACTGGTAGGAATCCCTAAAGACTCTCCCTAATAGGCAGGCTAAATGCACCGTTCTTGTAGGATTAAGCGATTTAAATGCTCTGAATAACTCCAATAGCAGAACACTCTGTTTTAACCCAATGCAACCCAAATTTTATGAGGTTATATTGGCCACAAGACAAACAGCACATCTGATAAATCTTGGGCTTAGTATTAATAGCCTCATAAATTGTTATCATTCAAGGGCCTGGAAAACACATCAACAGGTGCATAGGTCCCTTTTGGAAACAAAATCCCTACAACATTCTTTAGCAATGTTCCTCCATCTCTTCCTTCTAGTTGTGGTGGCCACTAGGAAATTTATGATGTTCAGCTTCATTTGACTCTAAAGCGTGCCTATCCCCCAGTTTGTTTTTCATGTTGTTTTGTTTGTTTCATTGTTTTCTTCTGACCTGCCGTACAAATGACTCCTGGGAGTGGTGCCAAGTCAAACCTTGTTTAATGCTACATGCATTAGTTCCATTTCTATTTATTATGGCACCTCTGGGTGGGCTATTTGACCAACCTCTTCCTTTGCCTACAGCTGTGTTTGATATTTTAGAACCTGGCTACAGAGGAAAACAAACCAGATAATTCCAAGGCCAGAGGAAGGTCAAGTCTGGAACATACACAAAAAAGGGGTGCTATTCACTCTCCAAAGGAACTCTGCTGTAAATATCCATGTGGATAAATACTCCTTTCTGTCATCACAAAAATGGGGTCCAGAAGATATCCATGCTCTCAAACTTGAGGCTGATCAAATGAAAGATACTGTATCCCTAAGGGGCCCATAACTTGGATGCAGTAAGGGGAGTATTCATGTGTACCTTCTCTCAAAGGCTCTCACAGGTTATCTGATTTATTTTTGAATCAATTTTCAGGATTCAGAGTTTGTTTTTGTGGCTTTAGTGACCTCATGCAACCCTTTGTGTTTGGAAAAGTTAAACCACTTTTTCTAAAATCACATTCCCAAGCTTTGACATCATCTTATTTAAAAATCAATGAACGGAATGGCCAAGTTATTTAACTTTGATGGACCTCTTTAATAAGTAGGCAAAGGAACTGTTTTTTATAAGGTGTTATGCCACAAGCCAGCATTCCATCGTAGGCGTTATAGGCTGGGTATATTTGCATATATTTCTTGCACCACATTACCCACTGCCTTGGATCCCTCTATTTCTGAGAGCATAGCAGACCTGCCCTGGTATTGCAGAAAACCCAGGACTACAACCCAGTGTCAGCAGAAGCTGCTTGGATCAGTCATGCCTGGTTCTCTCCTTCATTTTTAGAGAATGTTTGCTCAAAACCAGATATATAATGTAGAGGAATACTTTTGGTAGCCATTCAGATCGGTAGCCTTCTAGAATTACATTCTTCTAAATTCTTTTTCCTGAAAGTATTTTTTATTTAGCTATAAGCTTTCAGAGAACATAGAGCAGTAATCATCTTGTCATAATGACAATTCCACTCACTCAAAATTATTTCCTTAATTTTTAAGTGAACTTTAATTATAAAGTCATGGTGCTGTTCCCATGTATTTTACTGTCTACTACTGAAATCCTATTGATTGAGTTTCTTTTCTAAGTTAAGAGCAGTGACCCTTTCCTGACATGCTTTGGCCTTTCCTCTGCTTTTAGGTGTTCCTTCAATGTGAATAAAGCACGTTCCCTGAATATTAGAATGATAATACAAGTTGAGGAAAGCAGTGTTGCCAGATGGACAGAGTTGTTAGGGCTTAGAAAAATCCAGGTGAAAGACTAGACTATAAACCTAATAACATAAGCATGACAAACAACCTAATCATTCAAACCAAATGCTCGGTCATTTCAGATCATTAGTTTCTTTCTTACGATGTCAGCATCCTAGTATTTATCAGAGTTTGTATTCCAAACACAAGTAGGAAAATGAACTTGAGATTATTTTCATGTTTAATGGACTTGATAGGGCACATTTCTTGCCTAGTGATTAAGTAAACACTTTAAAAAAAGTGGGATTTTAGGCGCATGTGGGTGGTTCAGTTGATTAAGTGGTTTTCTGCTCTGGTCATGATCCTCAGGGTCATGAGATTGAGTCCCCTCTCAGGTACATGGAATCTGCTTAAGATTCTCTCTCTCCCTCTCCCTCTGCCCCTTCCCCTACTCACATGCATATGTGTGATTGCTCTCTCTTAAAAAAAAAAAAAACGCACAGGATTTTAGTGTTTCTAATGATCTTGATTTCAAAGGTGAACTCATAAGTAGTATGTTTGAAAAGAAGTATCTATAAGCATTAAATTCCTTTTCATTTGATTTTTTAATATCTATTTGTTGTAGATGCATTCAAAAAAATCAAAAGTGACATTCAAGTATGTTCCTTGGGAATATTTAGTATTTCTTTGTTTTTTTTTTTTTTTTCAAAAGAAAGTTACACAGTCTCATGTACTTAATAGCTGTTCCACTAAAAAGTAAGGAGTAGAAAACAAATACTTCATAAAGGTGATTTGCTCACACGTGTCCTATAAGAGCTGTACTTCTTGCCATAACTTAAAAAATTATTTAGTAGTTAACTCACATAATTTTCAAGGCATACCTTTTCAAACTGGCACCTTCCATGTGGATTCTCAGCAGCCAGATAAAGCAGCCATACCACTCCCTTTTTGAAAAGAACCAATCAGTGTTCCCAGAGGAAGATGTCTGAATTCAGTCAGTTGTTGAAAGATAAAGTGTTCAGTCTGTTTCCTGTGAGGACTTGAATGGACCAAGAAATGGACTAATATGTAGTGACTACCTGGTGGCCTTACAGAATGCCTGGTAAGGATATTTCTAGGATGGACAAGAAGAGCTTACGATCATGATGCTGCTAGTGATAAGGAAGAGTGTATTGTAGAGTCAGGTTGCCACATATTCATTTAAAGGGATTTTATGTTATATTGTAATGAGTAATAATATTTTTTTAAAATAATATTAAATTTAAGAGGTGGGTTTTCTGTTCTGTTTAAAGCCAAGGATTATTGTGTATATGAATTCTGGTAATTAAGGAAAGGACAGTGTATTTTGTCTTCTTTACCATAGCCATCTCTTCTGCTCAGCTGTTCCTAACAGAAATGAGGCTTGACCATGACTCACAACAGGGCATTGATAGTATATGACATAGTTGTACCAAATGAGATTCACTGAAACAACATTTTAATGGCAAATGAACTGATTGGTTTTATCTTTCCTATCACCCCGTACAATTTAAGATCTTCTGTCTTTCAGCCCTAGGCTGCTTTACAGAATCTGTGAGAAATTCTTTCTTTGTAATATTATCTTGTTAGTCAGTATCTAGTGTGAATAGGATTATAGTACTCAAACTGAACAAGCATTGTGAAAGCCATTAAAAATAATTTAGTTAAAAGAATTTTTAAATTGGTGCTTAGTGGGTAAAACAGGGTGATGGAAAGTGAAATACATTTGAACATTTCAGTATGAGAATAGCAGCACTGGCCTACCTTCCTCCGTCCCTCCCTCCCTCTATCCCTTCCTTCCTTCCTATGAAAGATATTTTCTCTAGTCAGGCTCCAATTAATCCCTGTTTTTGTTTATATGTTTTTTCCTTCAGGATGCCTTGCTTGGTCAGCTAAATCCAAATTAAATCTATTCTGATCTCTCATAACAAACTGGATTTTTCCTCAAATGCTGTAATTAGTTATTTCAGGCATTGTGTTCCAGTGGGCTCTCCATGAGGAAAGAGACTGTCTTTCTGTTTCTCTATTCCCAGTACTTAGGTACACGGCTAGCACATGGAAAATGCTTAGTGTATATATTTACCATATAATAAACAAGTAAATCAACAAACAATGAACAACTGAATGAAATGAGAGTGATTAGACATGAATTACCTAAAATTTTACAAAAAATATCATTAGTACATTAAGTGAAATTTTGGGGTAACATATTTTTATTAACTAGAGAAAAAGGATACATGTTCATTGAAGGCAATTTGGTAAATCTAGAAAACTGTATAGGAGAATCACCCATTATTCCATCACTGAGAGGTAACCATAAGTAAAATATGGATTTATCTTCAGTATGTTTTCCTCTTCCTATGTGACTGTCCTTAACAGAAGAAAAGTTATATGTGTGTTTGTATTCATATTTGTGTGTGTGTATTTGTAAGTATATGTGTATATGTGTAATTGTGTGTGTGTGTATGTGTGTGTATGTGTGTACTTTAAGACCTCTCAGAGCAACTTCTCTTACCACCAAATCAGAATGGAGAGATTAATTTCTTTTGGGAAAAATGCCTTTAACTTATGAGTAAGGAAAATTTCTTTTGGGAAGATAATCAGTTTTGAAATTAACGTCTTCCAGTATACATGCTTGAAATTTCTCCTGAAAAACTTTTTGAAAAATTGTTCATCTAAATCTCACTGAAGATGGTAAAAGTAGCTATTTTGTTTATTCAGATGATTAATTGAACTTGATCACATATATTATATATCATAACATATAGCATATGTATTTATAAGTAAATATATAATTTATACATATTTGTATATATTTATATTTTTAATTTTTTTGGCTTTTTTATGTCTGACAGTGTCATTCTTGTTACCTTCACACATACTTGGACACAGAGTTATTGGGGCACATCTCTTTTTGTCTGAAAGGTCTAGAAATACAGTCAAATGCTTAAGCATTTGGACAGTTTCAGTTTAGCTTTGACAGGAAGTCTGAATTCATACTAGTATGCGTCCCTTTGTGGGCTGCCTGTTAATTCTTTTCTGTAGCCTTATAGTATGTTTTCTTTGTCTTGTTAATTAAACAAACAAATCATCTTTATGATGAACATTTGCAGTTACATGCTCACATACATGTCTCTTTCTAGTTACGGAAAAATTCTTTAATTATTCCTATCATTTAATTACCGTGAATTCCTCCTTGAGGGAAATCACAACTTTTTGTTCAGCTACATCTTCTCTGACTTCTGTATTTTCCTTTCCTTATGTACATCTCTAAGTTTATA